TGCCTAAAATTAAGGAATTAGTTTTATTTTCTTTAAATCTTGTTTTAAAGCTTTGATTTCTTTTAGCTATTTTTATGGACGTTGATTAGGGAGCATTAATTACTTTCCTTTTTCTCTGCTTTGTATTGGGCGGCAATTTAAAATATATGTGCTGCCGTTTTTTTTGAATTTATAACAATCAAGCTTCTTCATATTTCTTTCTCCTCTTTCTCTTGTTCAAGAAACCTCCAGTTTTAACAAAAATTCAAAATAGAAACAGCTTATCAGAAAGTTAAGAATATGTTTAAAAATATTACTTGGGTACTAAAGTGTCTAAAATTAGTATTTAGCTACACATAAGAAATATTGAATTCTGGATCAAACAATATATATAATAATTAAGTTAAATAAAGAAGGAGCCACCATTTTTGCTGCCTTTTTGAGAAGTTCATCAAGTTGTGGGGTTGAGGAAGCATGGAATCCATGATTAGATACTGCATAGTCCATGTTAAGATAAGCTACAGCTCTTGAGGCTAAAATCTCTCTGTTATCTTCAACCCATTCCGTTGAACCAATCTGTAGTAAAATCGATGCCATATTCAGCAAGACAGGACAAAAAATGAAGCGTAAAGCTGACCAAGAAGAAGAACGGTAGAGGAAGAGAGACCAAGTGATACTCTTCTGCATCCCAACTACACAATATAATGGTTCTACGAGGTTTCCATCCTTCTTTTTGCAGCTTGGCCAATCTTTGGGCAACCTAAGAATGCACAAATAAAAAAAATATTTGCAATAAAATTATGTTAGGCTAATCGATCTAACGTTCCTCAATATTTTTTCTCCAAGGAAAACTTACCCTTTCAATGCAAGAAGCTCTAGCTTCAAATATGTCAAAAACCTTAGCACCTGAAACATTGCTTTTTACAAATCTAGCACCCTTTTTCATCCAATTTTCAAATTCTCACTCAAACATAAAAAAATTCATGATAAAAACTCAAGCCATATTTTTCATTTTCATAAAATTCTCAATGATTTGATCATGACACATATAAATACATCAGTTCAGTAGTTCAAAAATATCACTTGGATGCTAGATTTTGTAAATTGGATGCTAGATTTTGTAAATATCAATGTTTCGGGTGCTATGGTAATTATCCCAAAACCTTAGGGCCAGTTACATATATAGCACCCGAAACATTGCTATTTATATCCCTTCTTTCATTATCTACATAAAAATTCAAAATCTTTCCAAAGCCTATAATCATTTTCTTGCATTTTAAAAAAATTACGATACTAATTTGAACCTTAACATATAAGAAAATAAATTTACGAAAAATTCTAGATATCATTATCTATCAAATGTTAGAATACCTTATGGTTATCTTTGATTTGAGGAATGTAAAGGTAATTAAATTTCCATGTAAAAAAACAATGAAATGAAATACAAATGTATAAGTGATTATGATACAATAATCATC